TGCCACAAACTGGGACACTGGGGAGAGACAATGAAGCCAGTGGTGGCTGGGCTGTCCTTGGAACAGGAGACATTCAGGGTAAGTCAAGCTTGTGAACTTGGGCCAGCTCTGCATGGAGCAGCCCTGCTGCTTTCTGGGTCCAGCTATCTTAGTGTGTCACTAGCTTAGCTTTGGGCCACCTGTACCATGTCCCAGTGTCATAGAAACATCCATAATGGTGCTTTTCTCATGGTGTCAGGACTCCTGCAGTGATGGGGGATTCACAGAAGGGATTTCTGCTCTGTGGTGCTCCTTCCTGTTGAATGAACACTAAATTTAGCGATGGGCAAAGTTCACACTCTTCAAGAGGCTTTCATGAACTGTACGCCCACCTTTGGGTTTTTTCCCCTGTTTTCCTGTGGCTCCTCTCACTCTCTCTGCTCGTGTGTCCCAGTGATTTCCAGAATCTGGTCGCCTTTTCTGGATAACAGCCAACAAGATTCAAATATGCTGCGGAATCCCTTTTTTTCCTGCTCATCATTGCCTTTACTGGCATCCCATTGTCTCCACTGTTTTTCCTGGACACTCTTAATGACTTGTCACCTCTGGTCTGCTCATCCATGTGACTGCTGGTAGGAACCCCCATGCTCACCCTGAATTTTTGCCAGATCTGTGGTTTCCGTCAATAATCTCTACAAATTCTGCTGTAGTGAAACAACACAATTCCAGTTGGGATCAGGATTCTGTCATACAGCAGAGGATATGGACACAGGGAAACTTTTTATTCCATGGAGTGCTAATAGTCTATGTCACTTTAATAAAATTGTGAGGATCTTTATTGTTCTGAAATACATTAAACCGTTGTTGCTCTTGGCAATCCGCTATTAACCCTCTTCCATGCTGTGATTAGCTTTCTATTCATACTTTGTTTCTTGTCTATTAAATAGATTTTAATTGAAAATAGGACTTCAACTTTGTGCCTTGTGGCTTCAAAAATAATTGATTCTCCTTAAAAACATAAAGGAACCCTTTCCATCAGGCATGGGGTGCATTAGACTTTCCTAATGAAGGGATGCACTGGACTAGTGTTGGCATTGTTTCCAGGCTAGTGAAATTACATTCACCACTTCTCCTTTGTCTAATTTTTTTTTTTTTTCTATAAAAAATCAGGTTAGAGAAATTACAAATGCTGTACTGGGTTTATCCCTATTATGTTTTACACATGTAGGTGTTTTTATAACACAACTCGCTCCTTTGTGATTTTCTCAAGTAATTTCCCTTTGTATTGATCCAGGTGTCTTTGGTTTTAAGTCCTGGCAAAGGCAGTAAGAAATTTCACAAAGATATGCCATCCCTTTTCATGTATGCTGGCAATCGTTAATTTGGCTTAGTTTTGCCAAAAGATATGGGAAACATCTGGATTTATTGCCTTGAGAATTGAATATTAGCTAAAATATGGCTGCACCATTATATAAGAAACAGTCATGATGTTCTTTGCATGTGTTTCAGATATACTAGTGATATTTAGAAATGTTTCATTCAGGTGTTAATATCAGAAATGCTTGTCTATTCATTGTAAAAGGTAAATGAAGTTAAGGTCCAGGAAAAAAAAAAATGTTATTTACCTCCTGATGAGTTGAAAAGCTAAATCTGAAAGGAATCATTGCAACCAAAATGCCATCCTATACATTTTTCCCCTCTGTCTGGTCATCATTGCTTTTTAACATAGTGTTGGTATGTATGCCTGCAAGTATGTGTCCATGTGACCATATTCACAGATAACTTATTTATTGGCTTAAAATTACATTATGAAAATAATCGTATCAGAACTGATTTCCTCTTCTACTCTTCCTCCAAATCACTACCTCAGTATAAAAATATATAGGGAAACAAGATACTTTAGAACCCAATTTATTATCTCCTGCTGGTAGCAATAACCTGAAAATAACAGCAAATAGTAAAATTCAAACTTGAGGCAGACACTGGTGCTGGGAACAGCTGTAGTCGCATTTATAAAGGATAGATTCAATATAACAGCTATAGAAATGTGCAATGTTTCAGAGGCTCCCAGATTAGTACTTGATTGCTTTTTCAAGTTTGTTCTATAGTTTGGGAGGAACACAGGATTTTAAAAGGTACAAACAAGTGTAATAAATAAGCTGCTACTTGAATCAGAGATATTGCCTCCTCCGACTCTTCCCTGGCTTCTGCCTTTCCCCAAAAGTGGCTAATTTCCGAGGGAAATAATTACACAAACCCTACTTTTTCTATATGAATATAAGAAAATGCCATTACAGAGTCAATTATTGAGCAAAATCAGGAGGCTATCTGGTATGTAAAGGTGGTCCTAGAAGCCATGTTAATTTATTATAGGCATAATATGAGTTTTTTTTTCCTGAATAGGGCATTCCCAGCCAGGCTGTCTGTGCCTTTTTGGAGGCTGCGTGTGTGAGAATTTAAAAAGTTCACAGAAAACACTCACCTTATAGTTCATTTAAAAAAAAAAAAAGAAAAAAAGAAAAAATATTTGTTATAGCATAAAAGAATAGCTATAAAAAATTACATCATGTTTTTAAATAAAACTGATGGATGAGTTGTCAATCAAATGGCTGAAGAAGAGATGAAACTCTTTTAGAGAGGACCCTGTGGTCCATCCAGTCACTCTGGCTATCGTGCTGCAAATTGTGGCTCTTTATGCCTGCCTGGTATTGGAAGAAGATGGTATCGTATATGCATTTATTAATGCAGCTTGTTTCTTTTTGTTCTTGTCTTATTCCCGAAGACTTACACTGGAGGATTGTAGTCAGTGTAGACTGAGTTATAAGCTGGCACAGACCTAGAATATATTTGGATATTTGATTGGAATAGTCTGTGTATTTTCTGATTTACATTTTACAGAATATATAGAATTACTTAAGGAGGTGGCTAAACAAGCAGTCTTATTCCAGAGACAAGTAGGATGTTGGTCCTGGGAAAAAAGCTTCCAGTGCTAGAATTAAATAGGGAAGCAGCCCGAGGGAGGAAGAGGAGCAAGGAGAGGAAGGCAGGGATTTCCTACAGAACAGGAAAGAGTCTTCTCAGCCTAACAACAGAAACTTGCCCCTTTTAACTTTTTGTAATAGATTTTTCTTGTTTTTCTTTTATCCAATACCAATTTAAAACACTCTACGCACCACTGGATGTAGATGGTTAGTTTTCAAGGCAGGAGAACCAACCTTCTTTATCTAGTGGCTTCCACAGTTAAATAGTTAAATGCAACGTAGAAACACTCTAAAAATCAGTGAGGAGGAAAGAGCCTTTGCTAACAATGATGCCTTGAGTTAGAGCAGAGGACAGGACTGTACTCCTTCGGTTGACCGTCTGCACTCAATTTTATTTCCTTTCATTTCTTCAAGTGAACTCTCAAAAAACAATACAGTTTTGCAAAGCTTGATGCTGAAAGGCAGGTTAAGCCATGCATGAGACTTCTTGGTAAAATAAGTACTCTTATCCTTAAAACTCTAATATTTATCTCATTCTGTCTGTCACTTCACTTGCCAGGTCTTTAGAAAAGGTCTGTTTATGTCAGCATTCAGGTGAATTGGATTTATGCCACCTTGTTGTAATCTCTAAATGAACATGTCAAAGGCCTTACAGTGTCTCAGAAATCATTCAGAAAATGGTCTTATTTTGCTAACATATTATCTTGCAGCTTAGAATTAAATCACATCTGTTGTTTAATCCTGTTATTCTGATTAGCTGGAATCATAAGCACTGATATTGGTCTGAAGTCTCAGTTTCAGGATGTGAAAATCAAAATTTATTGGGATGTTGAGTACTGAAGTCTTGTGTTTGAAAAAAAAAAAGAAGTGTTTTACTTCAAATGATTCATTTTAAAGAAAATGGTAAAATATCAGAAAAATATTACTCATATATTTAGCATATTTTTATAAATTCATTTCAAGCCAACTCCATGGATGGAAGCAAAGAAAAATAGACATGAAAAATAAAAACTAGGATAAAGCAAACTCAGTAGCTATAGAAATTAATGAGGTCTTGGTAATACCATGGTAGAGTAAACTCAAACAAACCTTTGCCTTTGAAAGGCTGCTTTGATATTGATTTATCTAAAGACACATCCAAATTGAGCCCATAATGTAATTAAAATGCAATATCATATAATGACTCAGAAGATAGATTTTGGTCTTTCCTCTTCTTTTCCTTCCTCCCTCTGCTATGAATAAAAAGGCGAGAGTTAATGAAACTAGAAATCTCTTATGATAAATGAAAATATAAAGGGAATCAGCTTTCCAAATTTATTGTCGGTATCAACTAAACTGCTACTTGGCAGAGTTTGGGGTCGGCTCATCTCTTGGATGAAGAGGTTTGGAGATCCATTTCTGCCTTGAGTAGAGGCGACTCAAGTAAATGTCTCACCTCCCAGGTAGGAAGGATGGTTTCTGCATATGTCTGTGTAGAAGAAACAGAGACCTCTGCTCAATTTGATTGAAAGAAGATGAAGAATATTCAAAGTTCTGGACCCTCCATCTGTCATTTAGAGGTGGCAGTGCCCTGAGGGGGATGGGTGTGGGGTTATTCCCCAGTGCTCTGGCTTTTGTCACCTGCCTCTGCCTGGCTACCAATTGCAGTGTGAGCTTTTTGGGTTTCCTTCTTATATGTCTTTCTCTTCAGTATGGTATAAAGTAGTCTCCTTGGCCATAAATGCGAGGAATTAGATTCCAGACTGTTGCTCCAACATTGTAGAAAACCAACACTGAATTTAGTTTTAAAGCATCTGTTTACCATTAAGCATAGTCTTAATTGGCCTGCTGAATATGAATGATTTAGATAAAACTTTAAGTGCCTTGCTGAACACAGGATTAACTTTGTGCTCTGGGATATATTGCACTAAGAAAGCACTGGATTTTGGTGCATTCTGGAAAACTAAGGCCAGCAGTAAACTCCGGATCTCTGCACATTAGTCAGTGTGAAGTTACAGCCCTGCTTTTCTTTTTTCCTTCCCCCCCCCGCCCCCCTCTTAGTTACTAGACCAGTTGATGGGAAGCTATGCCTGGGTCCTGCTCCATCCACCTCCCAGCTGTGTAACGTGCCATGCCCGGCCGAGTGCGTGGTGTCTGCCTGGTCGGCGTGGGGCCCCTGCCTTCACGAGAACTGCCAGGACCGCCACGGAAGAAGAGGTAACGGCTGCTCTTATATATATTGCTTTTGCAGCAGTGGGGGATCTAAAGCAGGTAATGGAATATTATGATAAGATTGCAAAAGCAGTAGTGTCAAATTCTACATTGGGAGCTTAATGTATTTTTTAAAAAATTAATCTAACATAGGATGAAGCTCTTAGATGTGCGTACAGGAGTGGAATATGACCTTTAAAAGCTTTTTGCAGTTATTCTTGGGAGAGAAAAAAAAAAAAAAAAAGATTTTCAGCCTGATTCAGATCCTTTTATCCTGCGCTGAACTTGTTAGGATTGTAAGGAGGATTTCTTGGGATAGCAGTTACAGACCTCCACAGTGCCAGGCTGTCCCTCTGATCCCCCTCGCAAGTCCTGCTGCATACCTGGATTCCAGGGCAGTGCTTGGGTGAGGTTGGAAGGTGTCAGCACTGAGGTCTGTCCCGCAGCCCTGCCATCTTGGAGTTAGGCCAACCCGAGAGATTGTTCTCAGTGTTCTGGGTTTGGTTTAAATTCCTGGAAGAATGCAAGTATGATTTAACTGCCCTGGATCTTAATTGAATAGGGTACGTGTCTGCCGCTGCAGGACTTTCAGATCCATTGCAGACCCTTTCCTAAGGCTCTAAGTGGAAAAGATGACTGTTGGATTTCGTGTCAGGGGATGAATATTATTGTTTGGAAATTACACTTTTCTGAAAACAGTGTAACTTTTTGAAGTGATTTGAGCTGGTCAGAATTTTTGAAATTAAAAAAGAATAAAAAAATATATGCTTAAATGTAAAGATTTGCAAAACCACTTCATTATTAAATTGTTTTGAGTGATTTATTTTTGATTATTTGAGAATGGTGGAAGGTTGGTCTTACAGTCTCTGGAATGTTTTATTTTTCATTTTCTGTTTTGTGGCCAAGGCATTTCCACGTCGCCTCCACTAATGTTGTATATTTGCCCCTTGTCTGAGACTGTTGTAGGAAAGACCACCATGTATTTTTTTTTCTGCCTTTCTTAGAATTCTGTGTCATTTACATAACAAAACATCCTGAAAGATACTTGCGTATTAGTTCTGCATTTTATATAGCAACATGACTTTTGGTTTTATTCAGGAGGTAGATTATGTAATCAATTCTTTCATTACTTCTGTAACCTTTTTCTTCCACTTTACATTTGAATCTTCCAATTTAATAGGATGTCATTTCAAAGAAATCTGATATGCATTATGTATCAGAAATCCTTATACCTTCATAAAGCAGAATACTAATTTCTTCGTAAACTGCTCTGCTGTATCTCAAAACAAGTCTCTTCATTAGTGGATTCCCAGATAGAATAGAGATGTCCTTTATATCTTCAAATCATTAACTGTTTCTCTCTATCGTAATATTATTCCATTAATATATGCATCAGTGGCAAATTCCTGTATTTGGACATGTTTATTTCTATCTAATGTTGATGAAAGGGAAAAAGTAATGTGAAAATGTAGGTTGTTGGAATTCTTTACACATTACTAGATTTCGCATGCCTGGACCATGGGCACATACAGCCAAGTACCAGCCCAGTCATTGTTAGTAAGTGTTGTACTCTTGTTTGTCTTTATATCCCCCAGTTCCAGATGCCCTATACAGTCCTCTTGCTCCTAGATTATTGGAACAAATATTTTTTGCAGTTCTTCTGTTAATTTAGTTTCTCTTTTTCCAGGCTTTAGAATGAGACAAAGGCAGGTCATTGTAGATCCCGTAGGTGCCCTGGCAGATTGTCCACATTTAATTGAATCTATTCCTTGTGAAGACCCGGTGTGTTACGAGTGGATCGTTTCAGAAGGAATATGTGTGACTGACCATGGAAAATGTGGACCTGGAAACCGCATCCTGAAAGCTGTATGCAAGAACAAGAAAGGTGCGTAACAGTAAAAAAGCCCCATGTTTTTTCTGGCCTCCTTTTAAAATGGAGTAATTGTGATTATTTACAATAGCTCCTTACTGAATTTTTATGAAACTTTCAGATTTTTGAATTGAATGTGATATTCACAAAAGCATAGTGCTGATATTAATTGGGATTTGGGAGCCTTCTATTCTATTTTAGCCTAAAGGAAACAGCTTACCAGTACAGGTTGTCACCTGTGTTGTCACCACTGGCCTTATTACCATAATTACAACAAAAGTGGAATACCAGTGGCCTGGTTCTCCCTAGAATCCTGTTGTTTTTTTTGTTTTTTTTTTTTGTTTCTCCACATCTTGCACTAAAGTAGGGCTGTCACTGAGGGCAGCAGTGCTATGGGCATTCACAAAATTAATCCGGCCTCTAGCATTTCTTCTCTCCTAATTTTTTAGCATACACCCTGAATGTTTATATTGTTACACTAACCCTCTTACAGTCATGAGAAGGGATGCTCAGTTGTGCTGCCAAAATTAATACAAGAATTAGATGTAAACGAAATGTTTGTACTAAATAATACTTTACTTGGCAGCAGTTTGAAACCTGCAGTGTGTTCAGTTTACAAGTTGTTAATAATGAATAAGTACATTTTTATATGACGTTTACAAACAACCGGCAAGAGCTTATGTCTTATGCTTGGTTTGAACCTCAGCCAAAAGTTTCATTTCTTGATAAGGTCAGTGTTGTCAGATCTTTAGATTCAATTACATGGAGCACGACTTTGCAGTCCTTAGTCTGTGCTATCATCTCAAAAGTGGCAAAACTGTGGAACTTTAGATCCTGATACTGTATCTGAAATGGAGATGTTGTCTTTTATATGGAACTCAGACCTATTGCAGGAAACAATTTCAATAACAAGAAGGGTTAATTGGCAAGCGGTTAACAATAGTGTGTCATTTACAAGGCATTAGGATCTGACAGAATAAAATGATGGCTGCTTTGAAGAGCACAGATCCTCCTGAAATACGTTAAAAATATATCTAATTTTCTTGTAAATTTGTGAAAATGGGACAAAAAACCTCCCTTCAAGTGTTACAGAACAATGTAGCTAGAATATGCAGAGTTGTCTCTGAATTTGGTTTAAGTGGTCTCTTCTGATGTCTAATCATAACTGTAGGTCTGATCCTGCAGTGATGTGTGCAGATGGAGTCTTGTATTGCTCTGAAGCACCATGTACTTCTCTTAAAACTGTGTACTGTTAAAACCATGCACTGTTAAAACTGTGCCAGCATCCATTTTTATGCTCTAACTTGCAACTTGGAAGGAAAGCATATAACATAGCAGATGCTTGCTGATCTCGCATCAGACTCTTCTCTGTGACTGTGATCCTTAAGAAGCCATGCCTTTGAAGTGTCTTTACTTAATTGTTCAACAAGATACTGGAAGTTTCTCAGTTCCCTTTTCCACTTTAGTTACTCTGTGTGTGATCTAGTTACCAAGGATCCTAGTTACCAAGAAAAAAAAGTTGGGACATTCTTCCTGCTCTGCCACCTCAAGGCAAATAATGTCACTGGACATAATCATTGTCAAGTTCTAATTGAGAAGGTTTCACAAGGTAATATCCAGATCATGAGGCAGATGAGAAGCACTGGTTAATACTAGTTTTAAACTTTTCTGAATCTTTGATCCAGTAGGATAGGACCAGTGGAGTCCTTAAAGTCAAAGTTGAAGAAAAAAGTCAATTTGTTTCTTACTCTGTCAATCCAGTAATATTAATTGTTTTGTTTATAACCTGTTTTGCTTCTGTAATGTTCTCTTAATTAGATTTTCATTCTAGTAAGTAGTGTATTTTCTTGGATAAAAGCTGGAGTAATCATTAGAGTTGCATAAAGTGTTTTGCCTGGAGTAGTTGGTCAGTTGGTAGTGGGAAGCCAGTAGGGAGTCATGTGAGACTGTGAGACATACCAATTACAGCTGAAATAGCATAAGTGCATAGCATTATACCGTTCAAAATTCTGTGCAAGTAACTGCTCTGCTGAAAGCATTTAGGGTAGCTGCATGATGTGCTGGTATTTTCATTTACTTAAGAATCTTTTGTAGCATTCAGCTCCGTATCCTAAAATCCAGTCTTTTATCCAGTCATTCTGTCATCTATGCCTGGCATTGTTGTTTAGTATTCCCACTGAATGCCTAAAGGGATGAAAAACTACTTTTTTTTTTTTTTGGACTTCATTAAATGATAAAATCCCATGTATCATCATCTTAAGAACAGTTCATTTGGGCCTGGAGTATGTTGATTAGGGTACTTTGGGTCTTCTGTGTATCCTGTGTGTAAGATGTCTTCATTTTCATATAAATGCAAGACTTTTTGGCATGATGCTCTCCTCTTCTTGCTGCAGTGTGTAACTTCACTTCTCTTTAGAAGTTAGAAGCAGCTGATCTATTAGTCCGGTTTGTGCTCACCATACTGCAGAAGAGCTTGGCATCGTGGCTTCTTGTCCCCTCCCTCCACCCACAGCATGGCTGAACCCATGTCCTTTGCTGTGTAATGCTGGGCTGTTGCATACTGCTCTCCACGGCTCAGAGACCTGAGGCCTTTTTGAGGAGGAGACTGTTTTTTCCCTTGCCAAAAATGAGCTTTATTTACACTGAGTGAAGCCAAAGTGGACTGGCAAGTTTTTTGGTCCGCTCTCCCATGGCACAGGACTTTGCTGCTGAGAGCAGAGCCTATGGGATCCTGTTGGCCTAAACCTCTCTCCAGCAAGGTGGAGCTTGGAGGTGCATCTTTGTCTCTGAGGTATGTTGATACTGAGTGAAGTGAACGAGGCATTAGCCCTTCTCTGTCCCACTTCTGGTCTTCCCAGTGTATTTTTCCCAAGCCACAGCTCTTGCTTGCTCGTGGTGCCAGCCCATGCTGTGAGAAAGGGTTGAGAGGAAGCTGTTGGGGAGGTGAGCAGGAAGCAGTGTCTAACTAACCTCTTTCTCCAACTGAAACATCACCTTTGGAGCCCCTCGTAGTGTCCTTTCTTCCCATTTTAAAAAGCTGTCCTTTCTGGTGAGAAGATTCTGTGGTACTGACCCAGGTAACAAACTGCTGCTGGCCTGAGCCAGAGCTTGAACAACTCGGGAGCGAGTCACGCGTGGGTCTAACTCTGGTTTGTAAGGTTTCTCTGAAGACTTCCATGTCAATGCAGTATCTTTTTGTAAGGGCTTGTATGAATTTCAGTGATGTATTATAGCATTCTTACTTCCACTCAGTCTAGAAGTACAGAAAAGACTTTTTTTGTTTCTTAAATAGGTTAATGTATGGTGTCTGTTGTGAAGGGGCTTCCATAGGACACGTACTATGTCCAGCATTTTTTCATGAAGCACTGTCTGTAGTTTGTGATTTGCAGCAGTTAGCATAAATAAAGAGGAATGAGAAGACTGTAATAATCTCATTACTTCATCATTATTAGGTGACTGCTCCTACCTATTAGTGTCTTTAATGTCTGTTAATAAGTTATTGAACATGCATATGGTGCTTGAAGGAAACTCTTAGTGTCTGCTCCATGTCCCTTGAGTGTGCCTCTTCTGTAGCATCAGAAGACAGTATTGTAATAAATCAAGTGAAATTAAATAATGTGTAGAAATGCAATGATGTAATGCATAGAATGGGAAAAAACCCCTGTGTTGCATGCTTCTTCCAAGCAAAATATTTCAGCAAAGTGTTTTTTATTTAGCTAGTGAAGGACAACACATGCTTTTGGGGAAGTCTGTGAAGCCAGAAGAATAGTACAGGAAAATGGATGGTGATACTAAAAATAGGATTGTGTGTGTCGCTTGCTACATGGATTTATAATTCAGATCAAAGGATTTATTTGACAACTCTTTTTTTATATTTACAGACAACCCCAAAATTATTTGTGATTTTTCTTGGAGTTGTTGTTTCAGGTTGTTCAACAAGGAATTGAATAATCTCCTGTTTGTAATGTATTCTTGATCAGATAGCTGCAAGTATTTGACATTTGAATTTGTCCAGTCTTGATTAGAACCAACAAACATTACTGTGCATTGACCAGATGAAAATATCTCTCTGAAAACTTTCCAGTTCACTCACTCTCTTTAAATGTTCCTGCTCAGCAGATACAAAACCACGAACATGGTCAAAACTTTGTCATTCTAAAATACAGTTGGACAGTAGCCAAAATGTTTTGCATTTCAGTTTTTGAAGACAATGACCAAAATCATATTTGTGTGCTCTGCTTGTTATGTCGTTGTGATAAGTACAAGCACTGTAGTACTTGTATGTAGTATGGTAAGACAAAGGAAATTCAATGTTGTAGTAGTGTGCAGAAAACTGCAGGTAATATTAGACAGCAGGATTTGGCTCAGCGTCAGCAGATAAAAGTTCAGTGCAAACAGGACTTGGTGTGCCTTCATAGGTAGTTTCCCAGTCTTTTGATTTAAATGCTGAGAAATACAACTGGATTCAACATATAAATGTTGTTGAGTTCAGCCTGATGGAGGCATTTGGGAACTCTTTGTATTTTGATTTTCCATCTCTATTTTAGGCTGTATTAATAATAGAAAAACCAGGTGGAAACCAGACAAACGTTCAACCAAACTGTGGTTTTTAGAAATACTTGTTATAGTCACATTGTGGGAGCTTATGAACTGAGCCATTGTTATGGTGAGGAGTACAACCTGAGCACATACGTAAAAGGAACTACAACAGTAAGTTCATGAAATAGCAAGCATGACTCATAAAAGTCAATATTAATTTTTCAAACATTTTATAAATGTTTCTGACAATAATGTAAACTAAATCTCACCTATTAGCAATGCTCTTGAATAGACTGTAAAATGTTATTATTCAGAATCATACCTGTAAGTCGTCAATCTATTTTGTTGTAATTCCCATGTCATCATTTATTAATTTGCTTCTGCTTGTTATGATTCCTACTAGAACTATTAGTCACAAAGATGATTTTTCTGTGACAGTGAACAGCATAGTATCTAAATAATCAAAAATATGAAAT